TTGTTCAATTTGTTTTAAGTAGAGAGCTTAATGTGCGCTGTCAATAGCAATTATATGTGTAACAATAACACCAATATACAATACAATGATTCAATAAAGGGAAAGTGTGTTTTTCATTTGGAAGACTGGGGAGGTTATGGAATTTATTTTATTATGACAAAATAAATAAATAACTTGCAGAGGTTCGGAAAGGGCTTTGGAATCTAACTTAGCGAAAAAGATTCTTCAAAGACAACAAGAAAACAAAATTTACAAAAGCGGTACATTTTTATTTTTCCGAATCATATGAGATTCTAAAGTATTTATTATGTTACAACTACAATATTTTTCCGGAACATTATCTTTTTCAAAAATAACTTAAAATTGATAAGGTTTTTAGCCACTGTTTCTGAACGTTAATCCTTAAACTAGATTTTAAATCGTTTTTTAGGCTTTTAAATAGTTTGAAACAAAAAAAAATTTTTTAATTTATAATTTGTATTACTAATCAAAATAAAGAAAATGTAAAGTTTCCTAATTTGTGAAATCTTAAAATTAAGCTTAAAATTTTTAAAATGTCGCTTTTTAATTTTTTGACCTATTTTATGGCATTGCGGCCGTATTTAATATATATATTTTATGACGCTGTAGGAAATACGATTTTGCGTTGATCTCTTAAAAATTCTTTTCCAACTTTAGGAGATTTAAAAATGATTTTCGAATTTTTTGATTCTTAATACAAACGACAATTGTTCTCTTAGCTTTATTGTTTTATACACTGAAGCAGATTTTTAGAATTCAAATGTGATTAAAAAAGTATAAATACAATAAATGGCATCTTTGATATTATTTTTCCAATGGCAGCTGTAGGAATTTTTGAAAAAAGGCGCCATCTTCGCCTCTCTTTTTTCCTCTTCACTTTTTCTCTCCCCTCTCTTTATTTACCAACCTTCCTATAATTGCAATTACTGAGCTGCCACTTGAAACGGGTATTTATAGCCAACCCCGTAACTGTTTCAAATTTGTATAGCACGCCAAACAGCTGATCCCCTCTCTATCATTCAATCTTCCTATAATTGCAGTTCCTGTGCTGCCACTTGAAACGGTTATTTATAGCAAACTCCGTAACCGTTTCAAATTGTTATAGCACGACGAACAGCTGATGTATGTTTTATGGTATTTTTACAATAACAAATAGTTATCGATAATATTGTCCACAACCTATCGGGCAGTGTGACCGCAGCGCAACCGTTTTAAAATACCACCTGTTTTGTTATACAAGACATTTATTCAATTTCTTGGTAAATATGCGATCCAACTGGTTTTCCGGCGCCTCGCGGCTCTTGAAATACAGCCGGAATGGAAAACTTCTGACTCGCGGAAGGAGCACCAAGGCGACCTCAACCAGCCTGGACTCGCAGTACAAAGATGCGGCGACCACCGAAGGCGGAAAATCGGAATCTGTGGAGGAGTCACCGGAGCAGCAACCAAAACTGCCCACCAGAGAGCCGCTGGCCAAGAATTTCTTCATCGGAGTGGTGGACAAGGAACTGCTGGCCTATCCAGAGGTTATAGCCCGCGACGAGATGGCCCAGTTGCAGAATGCCCTGCTGCCGTTGAAGAACTACTTCGAGGAGCCCCGTGAGGTGGAGGATAAGTCATCCACGGAGACGATCCGCCAACTGGGACTCTATGGTCTGAATGTGCCCACGGAGTACGATGGCAGGGGTTACGGCTGGAGTGCCAGTCTGCTGGCCAGCGAACCTGATTCCACGGATGTCAATGTAACCCTCGGGCTGCAAACCCACCGCGTGGTTGTGGATCTCCTCAAGGAAGTGGGCACTCCCCTGCAGCAGCAGCGATATCTGCAGGATTTGGCCACTGGCAAACTGATAGCCACCGAGGCCATATATGAGTACTCGCCGCCCGAGGAGGATTTCTTCAGCACCCAGGCGGAGTTGCTCCCAGAATCTGGCAAGTGGCTGCTCAACGGCGAGAAAGCCTTTGTGGTCTGCACTCCCGGCGAACGACAGCTCTTCCTGGTCCTCGCCCAAACTCAGCAGCCCAATGTCCCAGGCGCCCTGGGCCGTGGTACCACCATTTTCCTAGTGGACTCCCAGCAGGAGGGTGTGCGTCTGGGTGAGAAGCATGCCACATTCGGTTGCCGACAGGCGGAGATCAGACGTGTGCACTTCGACAAGGTGAAATTGACAGAGGATCAGGTGGTGGGCCTGCCGCACGATGGCAATCGGTACTCGGAGCAACTGGTGCGTTCCTCCCGCCTGAGGGGCAGCTTGGTGGGCGTGTCGCTGGCCAAGAAACTGCTCAACGAACTGGCCCAGTACTCGGTGAGCACTACTCAATGTGGCGTTCAACTGAAGTGAGTATGATTTTTTAATGAAAATAGATATTTTATCTACTATAAATGGTCATAAATGTGTCTTCTAAGTAATTAAATTAACCTACTTTCTAAATAGTTACATAAATCTACTTTAAACTACATATGTAACTAGAAATTCTAGTAATATATTTTATTTTATCTGTGTACAATGCTTTGACATACAGAAGCATACCCAAAAGAGCACATATTTAAAGTTTTTACTCGATAAGAATTAGGTATTTTAAAATGTATTATCCCTAAAATCTCTCAAAGATCCTAGGATTAACCCAAGAAATGAAGAACATTTGTTAAATATGTAATGTTAAAGTTAATTATGAAAAGGAAAGATGAGGAAAATAAGCATTGGCCTTTATGTATATTGAAAAAGGCCTATAGGAGTTCATTTCAAATAATTAACTTTCCTAATCCCACCTTATTTAACCCGTAGAGATATTACTTCAGGTATTTCTACTTTGTTTTATATTAATTTAATTCTTTTTATTATAACACAGGGACCTGGAGCTCACCCGCGTCCACTTGTCGCGTGCCATGTGTTCCGTTTATGCGATGGAGAGCATGCTCTACATGACCGCCGGCCTGCTGGACGAGTTCCGTGTCCAGGATGTGACGCTGGAGAGTGCCATTACCAAGTACTTTACCCTGCGGCAGCTGTACGAGATTGCCTCCCAGAATCTGGGACTTGTGGGGCCCAAGAGTCTGCTTAGCGGCGAGAGTACAGAGCTGGGACTGCGAGATGCAGCTCAGCTGTGCACGCAGGGCGAGTCCCTGGACACACTGGGCATGTTCATCGCCCTCACTGGATTGCAGCATGCGGGGGTGAGTCCTTGGTATTGAAAGAGTTCCATATAGCCTACTCACACACTTGATATTTCCAGCAATCGATGAATGCGGGCGTGCGGAAGTCTCGCAATCCCCTCTTCAATCCTGGCCACATTTTCGGCAAGTTCCTGGACACCAACAGCATCGACAGTCCCAAGACCAAGATGCAGCTGTCGGAGCATGTGCATCCGTCGCTGGAGGCGGCAGCCCAGTGCATTGAGCACTCAGTGGCACGTCTCCAGATGGCTGTGGAGCTGATGTTCACCCGGCATGGAAATGCTGTGGTGGAGCGACAGAGCGAAATGCAACGCCTGGCGGAGGTGGGCACCATCATCTATGCCATGTGGGCCAGTGTGGCGAGGGCCTCCCGATCCTATTGCATTGGACTGCAACTGGCGGATCATGAACTGCTCACGGCCACCGCCATTTGCTCGGAGGGCAAAGACCGCGTCCACACCCTCTGCACGCAGATCTACGGCGGCAACTTCGTCAACAACGACAACAACCTGCTGCGACTCTCCAAGCAACTGACCAAGAGCAAGGGCTACTTCCCCGTCCATCCGCTCACGTTCAACTTCTAAGCCAAGCTGCTAGTTTAGTTATTATTGCCTTTACCATTAAAGTGAATATTTGTTATTGATAACAAACCTTGGTTTGAATTTGTATCGCAATTAGCTTTTTACAATTTTATTTCCACAGGTTGTTCTTCGTTTTCAAAAGGTCACTTACACCTTTGTACATAAATTTAAAAGATTAACGTTTTAAGGGAATTCACCAATCTCGATTTCAACATTTCACAATATTGAAGATTTTCGATTTTCCTATTTTTTAAGGATTTCGAATTTTGTAAAAAAAAATGTCAGAAATTTTTAAAATTTTTATAATCGGGTTTTTTTAATTTCAGAATCGATATATATTTCTGTTACATCGTTTATAGCAGTTTTATAAACTTGTGAATTTTTTAGAGATTTTCCAATTTTAATATTTTTGTTATTCTTTTTGATTTTATATAGTATGGGTTTGAACTTGAATTTCTAGGTATCTACATATGTTTAATCTTTTTCTGTGAAACATTTCTTGGCTTTGCTTTACCAGATGCTTTTCGACCTTTATTTTAAGGTACAAGTCTAAGGACTACATTTTGTAGCCAATTTTCCAATATCTATAACCTGAATCTATAAACTGTGTTTTCCCACAGAAATCTTTAAGCAATTTAACAACCATTTTCGGAAGACAGCGTGAAATTGCTTAATCCGTTGAGTTTACCACCTGTCCGCCTTTTCCGCTGCTCTGGGAATTGGATTTGCATTTCGTTTAAGTGGCTGAACTGGGCGAATTGATAAAGAATTGACAATTTGGTAAGCGGCGCAGGAAAACGGCTAAAAGCGGTGTGAGTGTATAAGTGCGCGGTCATGTTGGTGAGTGTGTCTGTGTGTGTGTGGACAGGTGGTAAAGTCACCTGGGAACTGTACCTTCAAAGAGAAGCAACTTTGTCTTAGTACTTATTTATATCAGGTCAATCAAAATGTTTTCAAAGGCCTAAAATAAACAATCGCTGAATTCCTAATAATTTGGATGACTATTAAATGATTAATAGATACAAGAGTGTGTGTGTGTTTTTTGTTTGTGCCTAGCCTACAACAACAACAAAATCAAGATTTGGTCACTTGGTTTCAATTCCATTTCGTTCCGCTCTCTCACCTCTGTTAGTTAACAGAAATCTCCTCTGCACCCACACACGAGCAGCGGCAGAGGGTGGGCAGAGCTGCAGACGGCGAATATCGAAGAGAGCGAAATCGCAAAAGAGTATCAGTTTCTCTATCGAAGCGTTCGGACGTTAAAAAGATAAACCGATACGAACTTGATTTAAAAATCTAAACCATCAGCGAACAAAGTAAACAAGAATTATGATTGATTCTTGAGCGGCGGCCGTGTCCCTTTGAATATTCATATTTAATTAATCAATTTTGGAATCACAAGGAAATTTAAAGTAATTTGGCAAATTCGTGCGAAAAGCTGAAAATTTGCGCGTGTGCGGGTGGAACAGTGACACTCGCGTGAAAATCATCGCCAAGGAAAAGGCGGATAAATAAAAAGGAAAAACGCCCGCGGCGAAAATTCTTGTATTTGTGTGGGTGTGCAAAAAGAAAAAAAAAAAGAAGGAAGGAGAAATATCAAGAGCAAAGAAGTTCGAGAAATTGCTAATACAGTGTGTGTGTGCTTGTGTGTGAGTGGGTGACAAATGATTGGGCAGCGAAAAGGAAGAGAAGTCAATCAGCGATAAGCAGTTAAAACTAATAAAAAACGGTGAGTTTCTCAAAAACCAAACAAGAAACATTACCATGTAATCAAAAGTGCAATTATGATATTGCACCCCTAAGTAACTCCCGCTGAGTTCGATTTTGCAACTCCTCCCCTTTTTATCACCCCACCCCCTTTTAACCGCAAACAAATAAAATGGGCAAAAAACCGAAGCGGATAAAGAAGAAGCAAAAGAAGTAGCGTCGCCGATTTCAGTCCTTCATTCCATTTCATTTCGTTCCACATGGTGCATAGAAGTTTTGTTGTTGTTGCCGCCGCCGCTGCTGCTGCTGCTGCTTTGTTGTTCTTGTTCTTGCTTTATTTCGGCTTGACTTCGGCGGTGACAGTGAGCAATGGAAGGCGGCGAACGGCGAACTCTGGAATGGAAACGCCACTAGCAGTGGCACACGACGCGGCCAGCACACACACACACACACATGCTCGAGCAAACATTGCTGGCCAGAGCGAATACAAAGTACAGTGGAGACTCCTTATGGTGGAACTATCAAATTGATATTTGGAAAATTAAAAAAATTCAACTTATATCAAACCACCCTATCCGCTAATAGGTAAAATCGTTTTGTAAGAATCGGAATTGTAGAGATTCTTCACTAAATTAAATTTTTGTTTTCTGAAATCCATAATCCGATTAAGATTAAAAATTAAATTTGGGTTCAATCAAAGGATTAAAGGATCAAAGAATGTGAATGTTTAAAAGGCGGTTTTACTTACATATAACTTGACATCTATATATATATATAAATTTGGTAACATTTTCCATCCTTTTATTAAAATTATAGTAGGTCCTTAACTCTAAAATGTTCAGAAAATTTTACATTTAGTACAATAGGGTCGAGAAAAAGAGGCTTATAATATATTTTAACGCGTTTTCAGGCTTCTATTTTAACTTTAAAGCTTAAGGAATTTTTTTAAAAGGTATACAATATACAGTATAAAGCTTAACTAACAAAAATATGCAGTTTTAAAGCTGTATATGTATCTAGGACAATAATAATTAGTGACACTTTAAAAAGATGGTTAACAAGTTTCGTATTTGAGTTTATAGCCCAGTTATTATAGAATCATGTAACATACATATCTTATAATTCCAATTAAATTAAACTTCAGATTCGGAACATAAGCCTAAAGCCAGTTTTCTCGTCTTCATAATAGGTTATCACTGTTTATTACCTTTTATTTGTATTCCGAGTAGGAATGGTTTCCTTCGTAGGCTCTAACTATTTTGATTTGACCGACAAAACACGCTCAAATAAAATTACTACAAAAGTTAAACAAACTAATTCGATGCAGGGAAGCTCCACTGTACCCCGCACGAACACAATGACAACTGCAGGGGGCAGCGACTGAGGCAGCGGCAGCGACTGCGTCTGCGGCAGAGGCAAAGACACCTCGAGGAGTCAACTCACCTCTCGAAACCGATTCCTCTGCTTTAATTTTTTTTCTTTTATTTTTCCTTTTGCTCTCATATTGTATTTTATTTTATTTTACTTTTTTTTTTTTTTGCCCGCCCTGTCCGCATGTGTTATGCGTGTGTGTGCTTGCGTGCGAGGGTATGAGTGTGTGTGTTTGTGTGTTGGGCTCACACAAATACAATTCATCAGCGGCAGCGAAGTCGGCGTCGTTTGTTGTTGTTGTTGTTGTTGTTGCTGGTGCTGCTATTATTTGTTGTTGCTGGTTCTGCGCGCTTTTATTTGAGATTTGCGCACGAATGGCTTTTGCTTTTGCTCTTGGAGTTGTATATAAATTGTAAAGTGGGTGGGCGAGGGGGAGGGGTAGGGGGAGGGGGGGTGAATGGTTCAGGCTAGTTTCGTACTAGAGTTCGCGGACAAACACACACACTCATACATACGCTCATCAGAAATACGGGTATACAACATAGAGAAAAAACAAGACGTACGTACGTACAAAAAAAAACGGCAAGTGGATTGGGCTTTAGATTTTGTTTTATACGCTTTTCCCTTAGCCCTTCTGGCCGCTCTTCTCGCACCCTTCTTTTGACTGAATTTTTCCACTCCTCCACCTCCATCTCCTCCTCCCCCAATTCCTCCTTTTCTTTACTTTTCTTGGCATATTTCGCTATTTCCCTTCGCATGTTAATTGCCGGCGTTGAACTTTTAGTTGTTAATCAATTGGTTTAGCTGCTCTTTGCCTTTTTTGTTTTCTTTGCCTCGGTTGTTTGCTGTACAAACACACAGGCTGCTGGTTTTTTTGTTGGCTGAATTTCAAATGTAGAATATTTGGTTAGCTATGCAAATTGTAAAGGTAGTACTAAGTTAAATTATTGGGACGAGCATTAGGTTTTAAGTAATCACATAAACACATTTTAAAGTAGTACTATAAGCAATCTTGTTATAACGCCTTTTTTTTGAAGACGGATTATGTATCTTGTTATCTTATCTTATTGTAATTTAAACACCCTTGATTAAATAATAAAATACTTTAGAGTATTAGTAATTTTTATTTGTTTCCCCTATACCATTATCAGCCAATCAATTAGCTGCACTAATCAAACGGTAAACTGTATTGATATAAGACATCGTATTTCGTTTTATTCCAATTTCCCCTTTGCATTTCCGATTCCCTTTTGGCCAAAATTAAAAGAGGTTCCCGCCGCCAGATGTCGCCACCCGCTAGCCGATTTCGGCTGCTGCTTCTGCTTCTTCTTCTTCGCTCTGCTTTTCCTCTGCCCACAAATCGATTTCGATTTAGCTCCATCTCTGTCGCACACACCCTCGACTTCTGTTTGTGTGTGTGTGTGTGTATGCAATAAGCTTAACATAAATCATTATAACGGCACATACAGGAGGGACCTTACATGCCACACTGCCCCCTTCTCCTTTATTCCACACCACCTTTCTGCCCCCAAAAACCCCTCTTTTCTGTATGTCTGCGTGCATATGTATGTATTTGTTCGTTTCGGCTGTCATTTCATATGGAATTCTATATGGGAACGCACAAAATCGATTTCTAATCGTGTAAATAAATGGCGACAAATGCTGCGACCTCTCCTTTTCCCTTCCCTCCCCCACCTCTTTCTCTACCACCTTTCCCTTTCCTTCCCTTTAGCATAGCAACAAAAAGTGGGGGGAAAGAGAGAGAAAGAGGAGGATTGTATGGGCAATTGTTTCAAAACCAAAAGTCGCACACTGAAAGAAACACACAAATCATTTCAGAATAACAAATTATGCCCTATAATCTTAAAAACATTTAAAAAAGACTAATTAATATAAGAATTTAAATACAATGTATCTACATCTTAAATGATTCCTTATTAAATTCGGATTACGTTAAAGGGTTATTTTTTTAGATTAGATATAATATTTATTTATTATATACTATTATACTCTGATTTTGTGAAAACCTTTACTATTCTTATCAAAGCTTTTATAAAATTTTTTTAAACTTTTGTAAGTTTAAGTAAGATTTATACAAGATTTGTACAAGTCAAAGTTTAATTTTAAAATTATGATCCTAAAATTCCGAATTTAAAGCCAACATAGGTAAATATTTTTCTCAGTGCAGTGAACAGATTTCAGGTTGCACCTTGAGCTTTTTCGATGCCAAGGAAAATGGGGAAGGAGAGGCAGGCCAAAATCAAACAGGATTGGAATCGGAAGGTGGGAAAGGGCAGCATGAGGAGAAGGTTGGGTATGTGGAGGCTGAACAGAGCAGAAAATATCAGCCACAGCCACGCTGTTTAAATGCCAGAGATAAATGGAAGGACTTCGGGATGGGGACTACCCAAAATTCGGAACCTGAAAACACACAGAAGCTCCACAGCAACCAACAACAAAGGGAGCAGTATAGGCACCTACAGCAACAATAATTTTAGTTGGGGACTATAAGCGAATATATTTAATATTCATTCAGCACTGAGATTAACATATCCTTTTATTGAATACTTAAAATAACAAAGAAATATTCTCAATTTAGTTTTAAAGTATTATTAATTAAATTTGATGGGACTTCTCATTGTATCCTGATTATGATAAAGGGTTTCTTCAGACAAAATCATAGTATAATATTGTATATCAAATAATTATATATGTATAATGTACATTGTACATATAATACTATTATACTATGGTTTTGTGAAACTCCTATATGTTTATATAAACGTTTTTATAAAAACTTTCAAAACTGTAGTAAGTTTGATTTTAATTTTATTGAAATTCAAAGTTCTAAGCATCGGTAAAAATGGTTTTAGACAAGTAAAATAAATAGTAATATTACAAATATATAAATTTATTGTCTAATGTGGTTTCAATGAATAAAAAAATATAGATGCCTTGCTAATCCTGAGATAACCACTAAAATACCCTCGATGCAAAACAAATATCAGAATCAGGCTTGACATTTTGTCAGTTGATTTTTTGGGGGTTATGTTGCAGGATGGAAAAGGTGGTTTTTGGGAGGGGGGCTCAACCAATTGCACTTCGGAATGCACACACATTTTATTTGTTTTGGTCCTGGCATTTTGGCCTCTCGCTTCCCCAATTTCAAACACAATTCAAAGTGCCAGTTGAAAGTGCAAAAAATCGCACCCCAAAATCGGGTCGAAAACGGGGCAATGGTGTTGTACAGCCCCTCTTTATCTCTATCCCTCTGTCTCTTTCCAATTCTCTGGGGAAACATCGATGGATAACACAAAATTGAATTTACTACTGTTGTTGCCTTGCCCCCCTTTGTGTTTTTGTTGCAATTTGCTTTGCACGCTCGGAAAATATTGGCAGTAATTGAATTTATGAGGGAAAGAGGAGAGAAAAAAGGCAGGTCAATACTAGCCAAAATTGAAATACTAAAGATGAGAAAGCCACCTATATATTTCCAGGCCCTCTTTTTCCACACCATTCGTAATTTTCCATTGTCCACTCATTTGCCGCTGCTATCTCTCTCCCACACAATTTTCGCCAATTTCCATTGCTATTTTCCCTGTGGTCGGAAATTCTCTTATTTCTGCTTGATTCCGTTTATTTGTGGAGCTT